ATCCAGTCCTCATGCTCGTAAATAGGATGAGTTTGCAAGAAAGTATGTGATCGATACAGTTCATAGTTTTACGATAAGGTGATTTCCCTTTATTTGCGTCCTTTACGAGTTTTTAGAAGGCGGACATTGCACGAAGGCTGTTTTCCTCACAGAATTCAATGATCGTTTGTCCTCGAGCGTTCCTGTCTGCTATAATCGCAACATCCTATTGGGTTCTCGATATCGTCTAGTCGTGTACAAAGTTTTGCGTTAAGGTTTCCTAGTACAACTGTATATGTTCACTCACGAGAACGCCTGTAGCGAAGGATCCTTGCGCAAGTTTGGGACCAGCATAATAAAATCGTTAATTTGAATGTGATGAATCCGTACATCCAGTTCCTCTCCAACGTAGTTCCATTAGGGCCAGTATATCCAGTCGTCTGTTCTTCAGGGCTTCTTGCAGTTCTGTAAGTCGGGCTTCGTTTGATAGGCGTCTCACGTTGATGGTTCCGATGTATATACAATCGGGGGTGAAAATTCTTGATCCTGCTGTTCCGGGGCTTCCTGGATCAAGGGGTTTGACGTGCAGAGGGGTGACGAAAAGCGGTCAAAATGACCAACCAGTCGGGGGACGTGTAGAGGATGAACCCTGCTCCATATTATTTTTCGGAAATCAGCCTAAGATCCGGTGACATCTATTTCACTTTCCCGCCTAGCCGGATTAAATTTTAAAAATCTTAAGAAAAGAGTTTTTAAAATTACTACTCCTTCAAAACCACCAAAGAAACCATATAATATGTTGAGATCGTTTCGATCTGGTTAAAACGCTTTTCTGCGTCTAATGGTATGTGCGAAGGAACTGTGAGATGTCAAGATTGCACATATGATTCCCTTCTCAGTCACCTCTGTCTCGAAACTCGGAGTGGCAACTCTCAGCGGTAGTGACAATTCTCATTCGAGAAGTCGAAATAAAAAATCATTGGAATTTCTATTAACAATAGCGTGTTCGTCCTAATAAGCTCCTACGCTTTAGTGAATGAAATTTGTTATTAGCAAAGGTTGGCTGGGTAGAGTTCGGTTTGGGTGTCATGCGTTGTATGGTACCTCAAACTTGTAATTGAACGTTTACTTTGAATTCTTGCAACAAAAACAGGTACGGTATGTATGCTTTTAAATGTAAGCTTGCGCGTTATGACAGGGATGAGACGAACTTCAAAGTAGGCTTGGGTTAGTACTACTACTCTACTCTATAACTACCATCCTACACTTGCACCCCACTACAGTACCTGTTCCGTCATGTACCCCTTCGTGCACCCATACCTGGATCCTCTAAACCTTCCTTCGAAAACTTGTGGAATTAATTACCCTCACCCTCACCGCTATTTATACCAATCCGGGGTAATTCAATGATTGGTCACCCTGATCTCATCAGCGTCGTTCTGAATGGTGCTTCAACATTTTCGTGTGCCGCAATAGTGTTGCCGTGTAGTTGTTTCGAACCGAGATGTCGAAAACAATTTTGTGGAATCGTTTTGGCAGCAAGACTTATGAGTCACGGTAACTTGTCATTGAGACAAAGTCAAGCCACTGATAAGAATAATTAACTTGTACGATGCATGCTTACTTGTTAACCAATCACTTCCTTGCGGGGGACAGTTCCTTGTACTTGGGATATGATATTTATCAAACAATAACAATAACAAAGGCTATAAACAGAAGACAAACAAATAAACAATATTACAGTATCATTTATTCTATAGTCAACGTTTGCGACACTCTCGCCACAGAGCTTTTTTCTCCTAATAACTTGTCTTCACCTTCATCAACTTCCAATGTGCGCGGCTGTAGCGTTCTCTCAATTCACTAATCTATCGTCTCACAGCATCACCTCCGTCCGATACCGTACACAAGGTCTTGTGGTGTCGCACATCATCATGAGGAATCAGCCTGATCACAATTGTGCCCTCGGTCTTTTTGCAGTAAAAGCATGGTCGATAATGAAATCGACATTGTTCTGCAGGGCACGATTCCAAACAGTGAACTTGGAGCCCGTCTCTTCGCACCAACTCGTAACGGGCATCTCCTTTCGTAACTCTGGGTCAAGACTCTGAGTAGTGTGCATCCGATGCCTCGTAGAATGCACATTCGACTTCTACTTGGGTCCCTTGTGGGGCTCCAAAGTGACTCCTTTTCTAGTTCCATTCTTACTTGTTCGTCCTCTGCTTCCATCTGCTCTTCGTCTTTCTCAGTAACTTGTGGAAGATTAATATCATTATTATCGATCGTCATCCATTGGCTCGTCGTGGGCATCGTCGCAGAAGTCTTCGTCTACGACTGCAGCTGCTCAGATAATCGCCGGGGGCAGGCGGCCATGCGATTTATGGGCGGGCGGGCACCGGAAAAGTAGTTCGTTGATTTCTTGCGGTCCGCTTGCAGATATTTGGAAGAATTTGAGCAAAATTTCAGACGAATGCTTAAAAAACAATCGCGGTTTTCTTACAGATTAGCGGCGGCGCAGTGGCCGCCTTCTCGCGAACTTTCCGCGAGAATAGGCAAGATTTTCGGAGGCCGCACGGCCCTTTGTGGAGGACCGCGCAACCCCCCCCCCCCAGTACTTTCTGCTGAGAGAAAGTACCTCAAACTTGAGTAATTAAACCAACGGTGACACCTCTGCCACACAGAGTCTTACTCAGACAATCGCCGGGGGCAGGCGGGCACCGGGAAAATAGATTGCTGATTTCTCGCACCCCGGATTTTTTGAAAAGCAATCAGGACTTTTCGGGAACCGCTTGCTGAGTCAGCGGGTTTTTGAGAGACCGCCTGTTGAATTTTTTTCGCTCTTATCTTTTGCAGATATATTGCTGAATCTCTGAGGAATCGAGAACTCAGCAAGCGGTCTCCCGAAAAGTCCTGATTGCTTTCCAAAAAATCCGGGGTGCGAGAGATCAGCAATCTATTTTTCCGGTACCCGCCTGCCCCCGGCAATTGTCTGAGTACCTGTGCTCGGCGTATGCCCGAAACTGCTTAAAAGGAGTCGGAGCGCTTGCTGAAAGTTTGGCCAGCGCTCGCTGAAAGAAATTATTTGTCGAGCGCTTGCAGAAAATGCTGTATTGCTGCCCGCTGGCAGAATATGCGACCGTAAAGGAAGTGCCGCCAGCAGAAGGTTTGGCCACGCCCCAAAGTTCTGTTGACCGCTTGCAGAAAAGCGCGAGTTTGCGGACCGCCTGCCCCTGGCGATTATCTGAGTGGTTGTCCGATACAGTGATTTTCTATCTCACTTCCGTCATGGGTAATGTGCATCACTTCTGTCTCTTCTGCTCCTTCAAAGAGACCATTCAGTGCTGGTTGTTCAATACTTAGGCCCGCATCGGATAGAAATTCGATCACTCGCATAAAACATTCGAATATATTCGCATTCGAAATTCAATATCCGCAGTTTTCCATTGGATAATATTCGAAACTCGAATATTCAACGAGAATTTGAATAAAATTCAAAGACTCGAATGATCAAAAAGGTTTCGAATAGATTTTATTCTAATGTTTCATTCAATGTTTATTCGAATTCGTATTCGAATGAAATCCGTATCCAAATCATTCGAATTTGTTGCAGAGCCGACTGCTGAGTAACACGCTCGCTTCGTCTGCTTTTTTTCCGCAGAACTCAATAATGCATTTTTTGCATCCTTGATCACCTTTGAACTGTTGGGAAACTCGTATTTCCCCAACTCCTTGCGACAGTTTAAAAATAGATATGGAATTTGATAAATTGCCTTTTTGATAAACGAGGTAGTTCTGACTGCTACGGGCACAGATAGGCAAACATCAGTTATCGAATTCAAGCGCATGGTCCGAGTTCATATACTAGAAGGTAATATATTGACACCAGTGGCGGTTCCAGGATTTCGGACCGGGGGGGGGGGGGCGCGACGAAGGTTTTTTCTGATTAAAGGTGGTTAATTTTATGATGCTTGCCAGAATTTTCACGGGGCCCATGACCCTAAAATATTAGAAAAATGGGGCTTGGCGGCAGCCACGCCCTCGAAATTTTTTTTACAGTATTAATTTGAATTTTTTGAAATTTTACAAATTATTTTTTATTATTCACAGTGTAAACAAGTCACTTGCACATTTTTATATCCCATATAAGTAACTTTCAAAAATTTCGCAACCCATTCTCGGGGGCGGGGGGGGGAGGGGAAAGGGGGAGGCCCCTAGTTGACAGGCCTGTTTCTCGTCCTTTGGCTTGCTCATGGTTTTGATCCGGAAAGATCCACAAAAGTAAGCATTCTTGCTTGTAAAGGTTATACTGCGCAATTGCCTCAATTCTACGGAGATTTTTCGGAAATGACAGGTTTATTTCGAATCAAGGACATTGCGGTTGTAGCAAAAAAATTAGACGATGCTGATTGATTTTTGATAGGGACTGGGACAGGGTAAATGACGGCTGATTATGAATAAAAATACTCAATAGATTTCACCGATGTTTGGAAAATCGTAAGCTTCAAGGCTGGGAGTTGCTACAGTAGGATAAGTGAGGGTGCTTATCATGAATGAAAGTTACTTTATCAATTTCAACAATTTTTGGAAAGCTTCAAGCTACGGGACTGGGAGTTGGCATAACGGTGTAAACGAGGACGCTAATTAGGAATTTTGGAGAACCTTGAGCTACGGAGATGGGAGTTGGTATAGGAGGCGTGAGATTGCTGATTATGATTAAATCGGCTCCGAGTATGTCAGCAAGTTTTAGATATGGTTGCTCCAGTTGTTCGATAAATCATTCAAATATTTATCCAAAAATCGCCTCCCAATTTTCGAATATAATCGACACTCATTCATTCGATGTTTTTGGATTTGCGATGCCATCTTAGAGAGGACAAGTTTACCGCACAATCAGTTCTTTCTAAGAGGTTCACATTAATGTCATTTCAATGAGAAGCTGCATAGCAGCAGGTCTGGACAGGAGTAGACTAGAACCTCTATAGCGGTACGAGGTGTTCGCATCTTGCAAAAAGCTGAATAGATAAACGTAAATTTTATTGCGTTGAATTCTTCCAGTGGTTGAGCAAATGAGGAAGGGCTTACGGTTCAGCTACATTACCCGACAGCTCAAAGTACATTTTATCATGGCTTATTCAAGATGCAGTTGAAGTCTTTCTTGCTTGACGGAAGTATCTCAGTCATCCTTCGATCCCCACAGTCTGGATGTCAAATTCTGAAAATTTCTTATAAACTAAATGTCTAGACGGTCAACCATTATATGGTATCTCATGTCTATTGATATGCCGCTCAATGCAAGAATAACGCCAGCTTCATTGTTTTGGACTCACTAACCCTCAAAAAGGGGGAAGTCTTGAACTGAAGACACAAGCTCGATTAGTGATGTTGGCGTAAATGTGTAAATAGAGATGATAAACAAGTAAGGTATGACTGAGTAATCTATATATAAAGAGGTGTAGGCCGCAAAAAGGTAAAATGGCGGGAAACGGTGCGGTCCCAGAGCTCCCAGCAAATCTAACACTGCTCACGCTGATAATACGAATGAAGTAAAAATTTGTATCATTTATTATCAAAAATTTCATTCTCTTCTTAGGAGTACCTTGATGTTTCTCATCCATCAATTGCTGAATTTACTGTATTTCTTTCTCTCGCGTCACTTTACTATCACATCGCGTCTAAAATTTTTTTACTTCATTTTATTCTATTTAGTAGCTCATAGGCGCGCGACTTTGTTAGTAAACACCAACAAAACAACACAGTGAAGTCAGTATGACACAAAGTGGGGAAAAAACGGAAAAACAAAGAAAGTCATTCAGTTAAAAAAATGCGGCGATTGCGAATTTCGATCAGCGCATGTCGAACAATGACTCGATAAAATGCTGACGCCAACGTTGACAACGCAGCTGACAAGAATAAATGGTAGAAAGACGTAGAACGATTAGGATACCCAACCTAAACATCAGATCTATGCAAATATTTCAGTACATTCAGAGAGCCTGATTTCTTACGAAAAGAGGATGCGTTTTTACTAGAAATAGCGCCTGAGGTATAAGGCTTAACCATCTTGTGGTTCGGTAGAAGCTTGAATCAAAAGTCTGCACAAAGCATTTTTTACCTTGCTTCCTGTAATGCAAATCAAACCCACCTGTACGCTTTCCGCAGGGCTTAAAGATACTTTACTTACTGGCTCGTAATTTCGTTTCTAATTCTAGGATAGGAAACAGAACACCAAGTCGCTATCAACACGTCTATACTTCAAACTATGCCGTTCTGAAAGTGCAGTTCGAGCACTGTAGGACGGCAATGTACGAGGGTATTCAGGGGTAGGGAAACACCTGTAAGAAACTATTGTGAGAATTTTTTGAGTTTTTTTTTCTTTTCTTTTTCTTTTTATTCCAATCAGTGCACCTTTGAGTGTATATCAATAAACAATAAACTTTTTTCGAGCTTCACCGCATTTTTGATAAGGACTCCAACATGTAAAGCATAATCCAAATGAGATAAGAGATATGTTTTGTATAAACGCACGGAAAGCCCAGGTTCATTACTGTGGATGCTATGTAGAGGCATAAACAGCAATGCCAGCGACTGGTGACGACTGAACCATAGTGTGCAGTAAATTTGGGAGCATCATCAGCAAAAAGGCCCAGATCTTTCTTAACGCTTCGATACTCAAGCTCAGTACCCCCTCCCTCTCCCCCCCCCCCCATATATGAGTGAGTACCGGTATTGCCGGAGTGCATAACTGAGCATTTTGAAAGATTTAAGAACAGATTGCACATTTCAGACCACAAATCACTTTTTCCATGGAAGAAGAAAAGGCTTCTAAGTTTCCTTCTTTCATCCTTTCCTTTCCATAGCAAGAGTACTTCAAGATCATCTGCAAAAATATGCACATGGATTTTCGACTCGGTTTTGATGAACGAAGGCAGGTCGGCTGTACAAAGTAAAAACAAAAGGGGCCTCTCTGTGGAGCACCACTGCTGCACAAGTATGATCGGCTTCCAGATTCGTGTGGTGGTGTATTGCAGACTTTGCCTGATAACATGGATAAACTTGTTAAACCTCCACGTTACAGCATTGTTTTTCGTACACTCTCGCTAGCAAAAACCGCCACGCAGTGGGTTGGCAAGACTCCACCTCTACACGAATTTGGAAGCCGATGATGCTTCTCCGAATACATGTATTTAACTCCTGTCATTTGATAACACGTTCACTCAGGTAGGATTCCAGCCGTTTTAGCAGCAGACTACGAATACCTGCGTCTCACTTTTTTGGGTCAACTCTATCAAAAGTTTTTGATAAATCAAAGTCGATGATGTCCACACACTTCTGGGGTTCAGCGCTGTAATCGAATCGAGAACAGAATTGCAAAGAAGCGCAATGGGTTGATCCCCCAGGCAGAAATCCATGTTGTTTCTGATATGATGTGATTTTTCTGTCACTCAATTTATCGTTAATGATTTTTCTAGTACTTTACCACAGGGCGGAGTAATGCTTACAGGACGAAAAATGGGCAAGTTATTGCCAGATGAAGTTTTGGAAGTCGGAAACAAGAGCCTCCTTCCATAGGGGAACTTGGCTTTTATACATGACAGAAGGCAAATGGCTTGAGTACATATCTTGTACAAAATTTGAAAAAATTCCATCGTACGAAATAGCTGTTGGTGGTTTTTTTTAGCTTTGATAGAACCTCAAATAAATATTTTTAATAAATCACTATGTCACTGCATCTGGTGAAAACTCGTGGAAGTGATGAAGATAAAAACCAGTAACGTCGGCAATCTCGTCACTTTCACCTCCATTTGCAAATACAGAAGCAAAAAATCGTCCCAACGCTTCAGCTTTCTCTTCGTCCTCCAGAAGAAGTCTATTGTTCTCATCCAATAAGGATGGGAGTATTGCTGACCTTTGCTATGTTTAGATAATGTTTTTTTGAAGTCAGATCTAGCAAAGATTTCCCGACTGGTTAGAAATCTCTTAATGTAATGACTTATATCTGCACAAAGTTTTCTATTCATTTGTGAGAGGATTATGCACGGTAGAAAAGTCTGCATTCCTGCTGCGAGGAATGTTGTTTTATAGACATTGAAGTGGACTTGCAATGTGATCATATTGTAATCTGATTTGCCGAAAGGAGGGCCGATGCGAACATTTTTGATGATGTCATCGGTCGAAAAGATTAAGTCAAGAATGGAATCTTCATTTGTAGCATTTGTAACGTTTTGCTTAGCGCAATAACTCAAAAACGATAAAAGTTCTTAATCCGAGTACTTTGATTGACTGCGCAAATTCTACATTGAAATCGCCCAGTATTATAGTGGGCAACTTAAAGGCAGTGTCCCGGCAAATTTGCGCATGGGGATATTGCTATGGTGCTGTTTCTGGTCACTCCGGCGCAGTCCGGCTGGTTGATGTTACCCTGGGCCGACAAAAGGCTACGGGTTAGGAGTCACAGCGCGCGCGGCGATTTTGCGAAGAGCGAAGAATTTTTCAACGGGCAGACCGTCGCTTTGCGGCGTTATTGCAGCATGCGGCGTGACTCCTGACCCGGAGCCCCGAGAAAATGGCCCTTGACCCCGCGAGCGCAACCCCAATCGGTGCGCGCTCGGACGACTTCGCTTACCGTTCGGCGCGCGGGACCCCACGACCACTATTCCGCATTGTGCATGCTATCCAAGGCAAAAATTGCAGGCAGGGTCTTCGTGCCGGGGCCTCCCAACTTTCCATTTAAATTCTCGTCCGAACTGCCTATTGGAAATTGGGTAAACACCCCTGAAAGGGTCTTTCACTCGTTTCAAAGCTAAAATTCGGAAACTACGGGTCGAAAAGGTCAACATGTAAAAAGATGGAAATGCAAAAATTGCCGGGACACTGCCTTCAAGTCATAAATAGCATCAGCCAATATTCTGTCATCAAAGCACTAGAGAAGGGTGGACATAAATTAGAATGAACTCGAGAAAACTTAAAAAAGTGAGTATATATCCAAGCACAACAAATCGGATGTAATGTGTATTAAATACTACGTTTACTCATCTATTCACTTCTTCAAGTTTGGTTTATTCAAAAATTGAATCATTTGATTTGCAGAATATTCGTTTTGTACGAATCGCTATCTAAAATTTTCTTTAAGGCTTTTCGTATAGGCCGTAATCAAAGCAGTAGCCGGCTATGTTGTTCGAAGCACTGCAAGCATCTGTTAATCTTGTTGAGTCTCTGTTCAGTTGACTGTAAAGCAACTCTTTTTCACGAAAAAGAAATATTTCTTGTGATTTCATTTTGACAGATTTTGCGCAAATATTGAAGGCAATAAAAAGCCATGGGAACGTCGACAGGAATGAGAAAGATTGGCCACCGAGGTTATACAGGACATATACCTGAGATAGTTTGGTTTTGGCGAAGAAAATTGTGGGAAACTCCGAGGCAGAAAATCCGGTCACCTTTGGAACGGAGGAAGCACCATTGAACTCTGACCTGTTATCTTAGGCCCGTATGCACGTACATCCCCGCGGGGAGGGGATGTGCGCTTAACCATTGAAATGATCCCCACTGGGGATCCCCTCCCCTCCCCGCGCGAACCCCCGTATGCACAAAGACAATATCGTACAAGGGATCCCCTGTGGGGAGGGAAAGTGAACCCTCTTATGCACAAGAGGGGATCAAGCGGGGAAATCACCTTGCTTTCAAATTTTCTATGAAAAACTCTTTCTTATTTCATATTTTGAATGCAACTCATCTTCATCTCCTCACTTCAATTAATTTAGGGTTGCGAAATGCGCGTGTGCAGTGACTGCGCTCGGGGCACCAAAAATGATCTCTTCTACTCCCATTATGTTCCTGCTTTTTTGGATGCTGCCCACTTTCGTTCACGCTGCTCCATTTCAGCGTCAAAATGTTGAACTATAGAAGTTGATGTGTCTCTGCAAGGGAATGGGTAGAAGACGTTATGCTGCCGAAAAGGGGGGGGGGATACCGCGCGGACGCTCAAAGCAGTATTCTAACACATAACAGAAGCTGCAAATTGTGCCAGCTCTCCATAAACGCTGTAACTATCAGCTGCATATCGTCGTTTATCCCAGGGGAATGATCCCCAGCAGCCATCCCTGCTATGCACAAGGGGAACGGTGGGGAGGGGATCATTCCCCAGGGGATTTCTACTCAGAAATAGGCAAATATGCTACTTTCTAGATTTTTTCGAGGCAGCTTACGTTAAAA